GAGAAAAGGGGGTCTCCCAGGATMGAAGGTCCACAGGCGTCTTATTGAGAGCGGAAAGGGATGAGGTCCCGAGGGGGACATCGGCATTGGGGTCTGTCCAGTCMGCTTGCTGGAAAGGGACATGTGCAGGTCCCTCGGCGGATGGCTCAGTGAGCACCCTCCGGATGTGCCAAACAGTCGGTGGGGATACACATAGACATTGAAAAAAAGACACAAATTGAGAGAATATGATGTCTGTAGCTCTTTTCAACATATACCTTTTTTTTTTTTTATCAAACTTATGTTCAACGTGCATGAATAACATGTGGCACTGCATTTGACCCTCAGACTAAGGTTTTCTTGTTGTTTGTGTTAAAGCGTGACTGTGAATTACTGTATATTGTAACATACAAAAGTGTTTGATTAAATGCAACGGACAACAATTTCACCTTAATTTGTTGATTTAAACATAAAATTGTGACTAAAGGAGTGTGAAACAGTGTAGAAAGGGTTGAACCTGATTATCTTATATTATACTGAAACTTCTTGCCTGTTGGCAATGTGTAGTCCCTTAATATGTCATAGTCGGTAGATGCGTTGTACTATCATACAAAATATTGTGGTCATATCCAAAATGAATACGCACCTGTCGACCAACATAGCATTGGAGACAAAAACATACTAAACATATAGTTGCCGAATATTATTCTTAAACCACTTGTACCTCCCCCAGTGTTGGGAAAATACGCTAGACTGACCCGCACCCGAAGTTTTCAGGGTTCGGACACAGGGTCGACAATGTCCCAAAAATCGTATTTTTCTTTTGCCCGTGCTCGAAAGGAAAAGGGAAAAAAAACAAGCCTTTGAACTGTAGTGATGTCGGGCAGGGTAGTCTAGGAGGTCGTGCTCACAGTCTTGAATGCATCTTACAGCAAGGACGGTCACATGCTGAAACTTGTTGTTTTCTTTTTTTTATTTCTCTTTTGTTTGTTATGTGTCCCCTGCCAACAAGGCACGACGACATCCATGATCTGCTCTAGCTGTATTTCCTCGGATGATTGTAACCCTGAAGTATCCAATTGTTTTCACGACCGAATCCGTGTTTCCGTTTATTTTTTTCTTGTTTTCTTTTTCTGGAATTTGGCAATCTGAATCCATGATCTGCTCGAGCTGTGTT